TGATGACCTATAAAGCCCTAAACGGCTTGGGTTCTGGTTACCTGAAGGAGCGCTTACATCCATATACGCCCGCCTGCCCCTTGAGATCTGCGGGAGAGGCCCTTCTCCAGGAACCCTCCGTGAAAGAAATTAGGAGGGTAGGTACTCGGAGGAGGGCTTTCTCTGCGGTGGCGCCCAATCTATGGAATGCGCTCCCCAGAGAGGTCCACCTGGCGCCATCCTTATTTGTTTTTCGGCGCCAGGCTAAGACCTTTTTATTTAAGCGTCATTTTAATTGTTAATATTATTTGCTTATTTTATCTGGCTAGGGCAACTTATTTTATATTGTTATTTCTTGTATTTTATGTTGTGAGCTTCCCCGGGGCTTCGGCGAATGGGGCGGCATAGAAATGTTTTAATAAATAAAAATAAATAAATAAATAAATAAATTAGTTTTCCATGTGGTCCTTATGGTATCTTTCAGCTTATTCAGCCAGTAGAAAGCCTGAAACCAGTCACTTGGGCTCTATCTTCCACTCTTGATTCCCACTGAAGTTACTAGAGTAACTTCACAGAGACATACGTGTCTCTGTATATGACAACCAGAGGTGACTAAGAAGTATGAACTTGTCCCTCACTCTGAATCCCAGGTAATTGTCATTCAGTTTCATTTTTTTTAATCCTTGGACTAGGACTTAGCATACATTAGTGATGTTACAACTTCAAGTGTTTCTGAATTAATTTAGATATATTTCAGAAAGGCTTAATGGAAAAGAAGCATTCCTCATGTGATGCTTGGATCTCAGTTCTAAAACAAAACAGAAAGGAGAGTCAGCTAATTAACAATCCTGTGTCCAAAAGCTCTGTAATTGCTAAAGCACAGGTGTTCAGTGATCATGTGCAGTACCGTTCCTGCTTTATCAGGAGAGCTAATACTATCCAAAACATTATAACAAAGGAATGGGTACTTTGTTGGGAAGTAACTTCTATATGGGTCCACGGAAATACAAAGCATTCCCTAAGGACATATTCTCCAAAAACAGTAGTTGTAGGAAGTATGGAACAAAGCAAGAACATTATTGGAAGCTGAATACTTAATGGTAATCAACTACCTGAAGCATCTGTAAGATGAGAGTGTCATGCTTTTTAACCATAACTGGTAAATCCAGATGACCTTTTCCAAGCTCTTACATCTCTCTGAATGTTTTACCCAATAACTCCCTCCAGCCCTAGCTGGCATCGGCACTGATAAGGGATGGTGGGATTTGTAGCCTTCCTGATGTCTCTGCCTACAATTTGCCATTCCTTAGTCCACACTGAATCACATTCAAATAAATATCCCAAACTGGCTAATACGATATTCCTAAAAACAAACAAAACCCTCTACCTTTCTTATTTAATCCAAGTATGTGATTCACACAGTCATTCTGACCTGCTCTTATCAGAAATCCATCTGAATCAGCTGAATCTTACAAGCAGAAAACTGCTTTCTTAAGGAGTTCAACTTGTATTGAGATTGCCAGGCAACTCACATAGCACTGACCCAGTATTCAAATATCCTTTATTTCAATATGTGGGTCAGCTAATCACAGGATGAATGGCATGTGCAGTGAACCACATGCCTCAATTTCTGCATGGGTAGAGAGGTCACTTTGTACAAATTTCATCCTGCAATTCTAGCACAGCAAAATGGGTACACAATGGTTTTCCCACAGTATTGTCCTAGCCAGAAATAGAATATGTCATTATTCTTTTTCTTATATAAATGCCTAGTATTCCTACAATTGTTTGCTGCTACTCTAAGAGCTTAGAAACAATTGAAAGAAACAAAGTACTGCCACCACTCCATGCCTCATCATCCTTCTTCCTTATAACTTTGCACTGCTTGTTCCCCCACCTCAGAAGCAGTTGCCACTGCATAAATGACAACATCACATTATGCATTTTGCTTTGTCTTGCATTTAACAACTTGCTTGGTACCCATAGCAAGGCATCTTTGCTGCCATCTCTGATCCAAAATCAGAAATAAAGCAGGAATTTTCCTGTTGGCGTGAAGATAACAGCAGGCATGCTAGATGGCCTGGGAATAACTCACCTGCACCAGGAAGAGTAGTTGCCCTTCCCTGTTCAGATGAGTCTCCTCATTCCTGCTACTGCATCTAATCAGAGACCGCATTGTGAATGTGGATGGCCTAGACTGCAGGACTCACCTGCAAATGGCAGGAACAAGTGTTCCTTCCTATGCAGAGGTGAGTCACAACCTCCACTTCTCCTCATCAGGCATCTTTGTTCAGAAATAGCACCAGTTGCCTGGCTTTTCCAATGCTTTCAAAGCATAAAAAATAAAAGAAAAAGGGAGGTGATATTGCAGGTGGCTCCATGCAGCCTCATGGTATCTAGCCTACAGGGAGTGGGGCAGGCCATGGATTGTTCAAACCAGACCTGTACCCCTGCCATAGGTGACCAGGAACTGTACGTGGCTAAGTGGACAAAAGGCAGAGAAGTTACAGATCTTTGCCAAACAGCCTGTTTAGTTTTGTAGTACCCGTGGAGGAAAGGAAGTAACTTTTTCCACAGTTAGCACACTAACACAGGAGGGTGAACAGAGCAATCCATCTGCCCTCTTCTTAGTGGAAGTCAACTGTTTTTACTAGCTTGCTAAGAGGCTAGTAAAAATTGTGCTGGCCAATCACTTTTGTAGGCTTATTTACATTGCCAGCTTCCTTAGACGTTCCATTGATAAGCAAACAAAGATACAAAGGAAGAATAAGCATCATACCTTCCATACCAGCTAAACCCTAAACTGAGTATCAAACATATATGAAATACCATAATGAAACACAATGATGTCTTGCCTGTGTTCCATGACTTTTCATTTCTGTCTGCTCAGTCTAGACACTTAAAGATATACCCACACCTGTAGACAGGAAACTCAGGGCCCTCAGGGACTCTGATGACAAGAATACATCAGTAACCACTGCCACTACATTCCACTGATATTTACTAAACAGAAACTGAATGAGCTTTCTGGAGAAAGGACAGCAAGAGATGCCTAAGCAGTAGCAGAGCATACCCTCTTAGCAATTGTTCACTTAGGTATTAAATCCATCCACACTGGGAGGCATCACTACATCTTGAAATTCCATCATTTAACTATGCACTGTGTGACATAGTATTTCCTTTTATCTGTCCTGCATCTTCCATCATTCAGTTTCATGGGATGACCTCTGCTTCTATTACAGTGGGAAAAACATGTCTGTTTTTTCCATGTTATAAATGACCTTATACACCTCTATTATGCCTCTCCTTAGCTAATGTATCAGTTCCTGTACAGCTCCTTGGAGACCCCCATTGTTTACAACACTCCACTGGGAAAATTTACCATTTATTCCTAGTCTATTTTCTATCTTTAACCAGTTCATGAACCACAAGTGGAGCTCCTCTCTTATGCCATGATTGCTAAGTTTGTTCAGGATTCTTGGTGAGACACTTATGAAAAAGTCCAAGTAAACAGTGTCTACCAGATCACCCCATCCGTGTTTATGGTCATTCTCAAACAACTCTAAATGTTAAGTGAGACAAGAAAACACATTATTATAATAGCTTGGCAGAAACCATGTTGATTCTTTTTCAGCAGAGTGAACTGCCAATATCCCAATCATAGTGGATTTTCAGGAGGTGAAAAAACTATTTCTAAGTGTTCAATTAGTTTTACATCATGTTTCAAAATCTCTAAGAAACATCCATAAAGTATGTCACATCTATAAAAATAATCCATAAAGTATGTCATATCTTGCCTACTCAAGATTCCCAGAACACAAGTTGAAGCAAAGCAGGCAGCAATTAACTGCAAACCATAAAGGCTGGATAAAAGACTGCTGTGGAACCCTATACTTACTGTCCTAGGTAACAATGGAAGAAAAAAGTATAAATTTATATTTTAAAAGTGGTCTTCAGAAGTGTTCTATACTGTATGGGTGGTCTTTTAGTTGTTTCTACTTTGTACTTTAAATGAACCTGATTAATATTAAATTCAACTTCTCAATTGGCCACCTTTACAATATGAAAAGCACCTCCTGTTTATGTTTGGGCCCCAAGGTATTACGAAAAGAATATGTTCGCCTAAAAAGGGCATTTCCTTTCCTCTTAATCAGCCTGCAGCAGCAAACCACCAACCACTGGCTCCTGAAAAGCAGCACTGAAACAACTCCTGGTCGAATCAGCTTGTGGCCTCTACCCCGCTCCCCAAAGCATTCTACTCCCATCACTCTGCAGTCATCTTTTTCTTAACGACAAAGAGGGATATGCTCGGGATTACGGATCACAGGGTGACTACATAAAAAGGGGGTGCAGGGCCCTGCACCTTTAAGAATGATGCAGAAGTGGGAATGCCAGGAAGGTATCGCTTTTCTCGACCTCTCAACAGTCCAGAGGACTCCTGTCCGGATCCCGCCTTTTTACGCAGCAGTCTGCCCCAACCTGGTGCCATGCAGGCGGTCGGACTACTACTACCAGCATCCCCAGCCAGCCAAGGCACCTACTTAAGAAACTCGAAGGCCCCGATGCCACATAAGATTACCTTGAAGCAAAGTTCCCTCTCCCTGCATTTCAGGGGTCCTCGTCAGGGAGGTAGAGAGGCGGCTAAGCGTCTTCAGAAGGAATCGAGGCCCCCTCGCACTCCCCCGTAAACGCGTGTAGCCCCGAGGGGCTCAGCTGGAGGCTGCCCTGGCAACCCCAACGGTGGGGAGCAAAGGACCCCTCGTTCTTGGCGAAGGGACAACGCGTGGAGGCCGTAAGGGAACGAGCCGGCGAACAAAAGTGGACTTTCCCTGCGTGAGTCCTGCAGCGGCGGCGCCGCTCCGTGCGCGCGCGCGCAGCTCTATTAAAGGCTACGCTCTGCGCAGAAAGGTGAATCAATCCGCTACCCCCGCTTACCTCAAGCGAGCCCCAGACTGTCCAACCCAAGCCACAAAGCTGAACTAATCCGCTAGGGCTCGTCGCGCGCACAGAGGCGCCCTCACCTCTCGAGGAGACGCCGAGCAAGAGCAACTCAGGGGCAGCGCGTCCCGCTTTCTTTCTCGCCTTCGGCTTCTCCTCCTCCAGAGGAAAAGCAACTGATAAAAGCATGCGCTGCTGGCAGGCCGACCCGAAATGCCCTCCGCCGGCTGAGCCGGTGTTAACAAGAGGCGACGGCGGCAGGAGGAGGAGGAAGAGGTCCTCCCTTTTCCCTCCCTCTCTGTGTTTGTCCGTCCGTCCGTCTATCTTGAGCTTTCTTTTTTCTTTCTCCTCTCCCCCTTTCCTCCTCCTTGCAGTTGCCCAGCTCTCTGGGTCTCCTTTTCTCCAGTGCGCAGGAGCGACAACAGCATTGCATTGTTAGCAACGGCAAAGCCGGAGGACGCCGAAGAATAGACACCTGCAGGAGGAGGAGCGTTGCAGGCCTTTTGGAGTCAGAGAGAAAGGCGACTGCCTTAGCGGCTGATCTGACCATCTTCTTCATCAATACTGCTGGGTCGGGACTGAGAATCACAGCAGTATCCCCCCCTTCACCCCGTCCCACAATCCATGGAGTCCCAAAACATGTTCCTGCCTGGGAGATAACCAGGCAGGTAGGCAAAACACACCTGTTCCATGCACAGACCCGTAACTGAATCTTCTTTCAATATTACTTTAGGGGCTGTAGGGCACGCGCGTTGCTGTCTTCCAGCACCTCACTGCTCCACCTGACCCACCTTCAAAGGTAAGCAATGCAGCGGTGGTGCAACTAGAGGGCATAGGTGAATAGCTGACATCACAAGACACATTGTGATGCCAGCTATTATTATCGCCTCACATAGACTGGGGCCTTTCTTAATGGCACTACCAATGGGAAGGCAACTAGATTCTGGTGGCTTTTCCCCAGCATCTGCTGCCTGAGGCAGGCACCTCCCCCTGTATAATAGTAGGGCCAGTCCACGTCTTGCTTTCAAAATCTGCACCACTGAGCATCTGTGGTTTCACACAAAGTAGATAAGCTTGCCATGTGAATTTGGTTCTTTGATGAGTTCTGTGTTGTCTTTTTTATTGTTGGGAGCTGCAGGAAAGGATACAGGGCATCTTTCCCTCTTTTAAATCCTCTTTCTCTGCTCTTCCCACTTGTGGACTTTCTTAGCTGGGATATACAAGCTAAATTTCCCACAATAAGCACCATTCTGTTTAATTTTTTAGATGTATGTGTTTGATTTCCCATTCTTGTTTTAAAGAAAACTTGGGCAGCATCAAATGGATATTCTTAACAGCTACAGGGCTATTTGTATATTTGCTTTCTGCAAAAGAATACTCCAGGGATTAATTCCTTTTCTAATTTCTCCCCACTTTCCCATGACAAAAAAGCCTCAAAACAGTGTATGAATATTAAAGGCATTAAATGACACACACAAAGCAAAGCATTGAAAAACAGCTAGATTAAAAGTAAACCCCAGAATAGCATCACATACTAGAACCACACTGAAACCAATAAGTTTTTAACGGGTGTTTTATAAGTGAAAAAGTAGCCCTTTGGCAGATCTCCATGAGAAATGAATGCCAGAGCTTCTGTGGCAGTTCAGTACATTCAGGCCTTGGCCCAAGACATGGCTGATCTCTTAGAGGACTGAAAGCAGAACCACAGATGTTGATCTTAACTGGTGGGTGGGCTCATGCCACCATATTCAGCCCCTAAGATCACATGCCTTCAAGCGACTGAAATATCTGCAGATACCTGGAATGGGATATGGGACACCAGCATCATACTTACGATGACCCTCCAGGCCAAATCTCCAAGTGACCCATTAAGTTTTATGCAGAAAATCACTAAGCTAGACTCTCTCCCTCTCCAAGAGAGAGTGAACAGGGTATTGTATAGGGTACATGCTTTCCAATAGTGGGAGACTCATTCTTTAGAAGACCAGATACTGAAGATGAAACTCAAATACTTTGGCTACCTAATGAGAAGGAAGGACTCCCTGGAGAAGAGCCTAATGCTGGGACCAATAGATGGCAAAAGAAGAAGGGGACGGCAGAGGGTGAGGTGGCTGGATGGAGTCACTGAAGCAGTTGGAGTGAGCTTAAGTGGACTCTGGGGGATGGTGGAGGACAGGAAGGCCTGGGGGAATGTTGTCCATGGGGTCGCAATGGGTCAGACACGACTTTGCGACTAACAACACCACCATGTGTTTTTTTGATAGTGCTTCTGAGACTACTGGGGCAACCTGAGGAGCTTGAGCTTTTTACTTTGTACCTCCATGGCAGGGAAAAAAAGCATTTCCTGCTGAATTTTTGCTTGTCACTTGCACAGATGCCTTTAAAGCTAGCAGTCCTGTGTATGAAGCAGCCCTAAGGACAGCAGGGCTGCACAGTTTCCCCCTTTGTGACTGTTTGAAGGCTCGGGCTCGTGGCTTATCAGATTGCATTCTCTTATGCCATTCAAATCCTTGAATTATTATAACAGTTACTGTTTCCCAATGTTTTTACAGAATAACCCTGACTTAGGACATGAAATAGCTACTTTCAGAATTGGAAGGATTAAATATGGCCTTTTCCTCTACAGGCTAGCCAAATTAGGCACTGTATCAAGGATTCCCTAATTCCCTAATGACAACAAAACAAAACACGAACTGTTGTCTCTTGTAGACTATGCCTTGTGCTTGAGAATGATCTATGTGTATTAATTGCACCTTATCAATTTGGAGAAATGCTCAGATTTCAGTTGGTTCAGACTGCCACAATGATGCTTTTGACTAGAGCCCACTGCAGGGAGCATACCTTTGGCATGTAACTTGCACAGTCCCTATATTGCTTCAAAGTATTGATACTATCCTTTAAAGCGGACGTGTAAACCTTGTTTAGTCCTGATCACGACATCTTGAGTATGTATTCTTTTTAGTACAACCCTGGTTTATAATTTTTTAAAATAATGCCTGTACTTCTGGTTTCTGTTAAAGGTACAGCTATAGTGACCAGTGGGAAAGCTGACAGTCCTACATTTTTCATTGATATTGCCTAACTTAATAATAACTGGGGGGATCTCAGTAGGTCTTGCTACAACTGGTTTGTCTTCCAGTAATGAGGATGAGAGCACTGAAAATGTGGACAAGGAAAATAATGAAAATACACATTTTTGTGCTGATACCTTGCACAAAGGTCCATGTAAGCTGAAAAGCCATTATTTTAGGAAGATTCATTCATTCATTCATTCAAAACATTTATATGCCACCTGATTGTGCCACAGCACCTCTGGGCAGCTCACAATCGTAAGATAAAATACAGTAAATACACGATAAAAACCAGAACACAATAAAAATAACAAAATACAAGCAAAAATGTACATGCACTCTCCAGTTGTACTGTAATTATATCTCCCTTTGCATTTTCAGGTAGACTTAGATCTGACTGCTGAGGGATATCTCCTCCATCTTAGCACCCACACACCCCAACAATAGTATGCTATAGGGGCATGCTTTAGGATTGGGATACAAATCTACAGGAACCAAATCTGGCCCACCTGGGGCCCCAGTCCAGTCATCTGTGGTTCTCTCGGTGGCTAGTTCTGTTCCTTTAAACCAACTGTTTAGTTAGTGCTTTTGTGCAATTCCTCCTCATGCTAAAAAGTTGCAATGCCTCTTCTGAAGCTTAGATACAGGCAATAAGAGCTTTGAGCTAAAATGGTCTTTCGCATTTTGGTGATTCAGCCTCACTTCTCTAGCCTTTGGTCCTGCCTCCAAGACCTTCTCCAAAGATTGAATTCCATCTTTCATCTGAGATTCCTCACCTTTGCTCAGTTTACATGGAGCATTGTCTGAGCCTGTGATCTCTTGCTGTGTAAGCTGATAATGATATGCCTAACATCCAGCAATCACTACCTTTGCAAGAGAAATTTGGCAGTAACAAGACTTTCAAGCAGCTTGTCTAGCATTACTAATGTTCTTTCTGAGGAAGCCCAGCTATTTAGCAAGCACCAAAAAGTATATGCACTTGGAACTGGGAATATTCCAGTTCTAGAACAAAGACTTTGGCAAGGGCTGATGCCTCCAGCACCTGTCCCAGAGCAATCTTATTGTTGGATACCAAGGCATGGAGAAATTAAAAGGACCTGATACAATTCATATTTGTAGGAGTGTTAGAGGGCAGATATCCTAAAGATATTTATGCCCCACAGTCTGATTACCTGATGTGCTTTTACATTTGGCAGTTAGAGCTTTAGGGTTCAGTCCTATTGATTACTCCCTTGGAGTTAGGAAGTTTTTGGTTCTTGAGGCCTCTGATCATCCTTCCAAGAGGAGCAACAGAGGCAATCTTTGCCCCACAGCCTTCTCTTCTGCAAATTTTGTTACATGGGCTTTTTAGAGGGAGCTTCAGAATGCGAAGAGACTCAGAATAAATCATTTCTTGGCATCTGTCACCTCCCCTCTCAGTCCACTGGAATGTCCCTTATGCTGTGGCCCTCCACACAATGTCTAGTGCTCATATGTCTTCAGCTGATTAACCACATAAATTAAAATCCAGAGGTCTACTCCTCGTGACATGCTGAAAGTATGGGCAGTCCCCAAGTTATGAATGTCTGAGTTACGAACAACTCATACTTATGAACAAACTGCCATAAAGCCTATTCTTTAAAAAAAAAATACTGTGGAAAATTGTCATTACCATAGAGAGAGAGGAAAGGGGACAGAGGGAGGCCTCCAGAGCATGCCTTCCTGTTCTGCACATCAAGAGAAGGAAATCTCCAGCTTTTCCTTGCTGCAAAGTGGAGGCATTGGTGAGTACAGAGGTGGGTGGGTGGGCTAGAGATATTTGTAGTTTTCTACTTTCATGGAGGACCTACACTCCTAACCTCTGAGAATGTGGTGGGCTGACTATACACGATCCAACTTGCATACAAATTAGACTTAAAGACAAATTTCCGTTTTCTCAGGAACAGAACTTGATCATAACCAGGAGACTGCCTGTACTTAACTAACTATAACTTAGAGAAAGTGCAATATTGTCTAGATTTGCAAAGAGAAGGCACAAGAAATCACTAGTACTTCTGAGAATTAAAAAATAGTAATAAATAGACAAGGCTTAAGTGACAGCTTCAAAAGCTAGCTGCAGTCACCTTCACTAACTGTTAACATCTTGCAGTATGCTAATTTCTCAACCAGTGCAGAAGAGAGAAAACAGTTGTCATGTGGCTAGCAGCTGCTTCAGGGTCTGACACAACTGACACTGCTATAAAAAATGCATTTATTGATTGGTAATGTGTGTTTTCTATCACCACTTAAAGAAATGCAGATTGAAACCCAGAGCTAAAAAACAGATGGCATTCTGTCATGCTCACAGATAGGAAAACATTGCTTTATTAATTACTTCCTATTCGCACCTCTGAAGAAGGATATGAAATTGTTTTCTTGT